GCAACCCAGGCATGTGCTCTGACTGGGAATGGAACCTCAACCCTCTGGTTTGCAGGCCCATGCTCAATCCACTGAGCTACACCAGCCAGGGCTGTTTTTATTTTTAAAGAATTAGAAAGAGAGGGAGGGAGGGAGGGACAGTAGCAGTGGTACCACAGAATGATATATTCCATGATACCCAGAATTTTACCATCTGGCTCTTTACAGAAAAAGCTTACTGACTCTTGTTCTAGGGGCTTACCAGATCTCTCCTGAGCACTATTAATTATTTCCCCCAAACAGATCAAATTAGAAATATTAATATCCATAGACAGCAAGTTTATTTGATCATGAACAATAAGAAGGTAAAAGTCCCACTTAGAAAAGCATTCTTTAGCACATTCCACTTTCTGTAACAGAAACGCCACAGTTTCAGTCATCCTAGGAAGTCAGGACAGAAAAACTCTAGAAGCCTTGGCCCTTATTCCTTGGTCTCCTACCCCTGGGAGAAGATGCCACTTGACTTTTAAAACTAGGAACATACATCAGTGAAAATAAAACCAGTGCGAGTAGTTACTTCCTAGACTTGAATGGTGGTCAAGGGGAGTGTTTTGCCTTTCATACATTGTTTGAAATTTTTACAATAAAATCTTCTTCAAAGAAAAAAGCAAGCAGAATAAAACCAGACATTAAGAACAATCTGACAGTAACCAGAGGGGAGGTGGGAGGGGATAATGGGGGCAAGGGTTTTCAGGAACAACTATAAAGGACACATGGACAAAGCCAAGGGTGTGGGAGGGGTGAAAGCAAGGGAGGGAGGTGGGTTTGGCTGGGGTTGGTGGGGAGTGGAGGGGGTGAATGCAGACAACTATAACTGAGCAACAATAAATTAAATTTTTTAAAAAGCTTCTTCTGCCATTATTGTATATAAAAAATAAAGACAATTAAATATACACATTAAAATAAAACCATCAAACTAGCATCCAGGCCTTGGATCCCAACCACTATATGACCATATAAATATTTCAGAAACATCTGGATTTCCCAAGTAGAATGATAATGGCTAATTATAATGCCCCATTCATTACTGCGTGGGAGGCACCGTGCCACAGGCACTAGAGACATCCTCGGTGAACCCTCACAGCCATATAAAGCAGGCAGTACTGCTAGCTCCATTTTATAGATGTGCACACTGAGGCTTAGTGAAATCAAGGCACTCACCCAAGGTTACATGGCGAGTAGGTATCAAAGCTGAGATGCGAACCAAATCTCTGTCTCTAGGGCTCAAGACCTTAACGTTGTATTTGGAAGGAACACGCTTTCCTTCTGGAAGTCTACAACTACCACTTCTATTGGAAGAAAATACCTTTGAAATTCACCAAAGAACAGTCACTTTAGACAGGGGAAAATAAATCCCCACCAATGTGGCTCTGTCAGGGAGGAGGGGCAGAGACAGCTCCTGAGGACCACAGGATCCCTCCCCCGTGCTGCTTCCAAGTGACCTGTGGTCAGCACGTGCCCCTTGAAGCCGGTTGGGCCACCAATACCTCAAGTAGCCCCCAGGTCTTCCCTAGCCAGCGTCCCACCCTCCTGACTGCAGCCGCTCCCCACCCTCCTCGCCAAGCCCTTACTGATTTCTCGTGTCGGTGAGTTGCCCAGCACATCTTTGGCACATACATGCCACGGGTCCTTCCAAGATTATAGATTCCAAATGACAGACATTTATTCCACACAGTACCTAGCTCAGTGCCTGCCACTTGCTAAAAGGTGCTTAGCAAATTAACGATAACAGAACGTTAATGAACGGCTCCAATGCCAAGTCCAGGGAGGGCTCGATACACATCAGCGCACCCTTCCTAAGGAAGCTGCCAACTGGAGGCAGACTATGGCAGTGGGAGGGACTTTAAGGTAAAACAAAACTAATAAAAATAATAAAAATAAAAAAGACATGGGTGATGTCCAGAGCCCTAAAGTGGCTAATTAAATGGTTATATTCACACAGGTGTGCACGTGAGCGTTCACACAGCCAGAAACACCTTATGTATGAAACATGGGGAGAGCAGACCATTTAAACCATTTAAAATAGTTAACGCAGGTGCGCTCCCCATTAAATAGCAGCAGCCCACGTACGGTGATATTTCTCTAAGAGCACTGTGTAGCCCACCTCACCTGAGTCTCTAAACCACTTCAATTCACATGTCAGTGAGGTATGGTGCCCACCCCATTACAAAGGAGAATGGTTCTGGGCCTGGGGAGCTTCTAGTTCCTTCAGATATTCAAGGAACCTTGGGGTGGTCACAGGCAGGGAGGGAGCAGGGACCTGAGAAAGTGGACTGTCGGGGAGGGGGGACTCGGACAGGCCCTCTGAAGGCCTGTTCCACTCTGTTAACCGTTCTACTCGCACCCGATGCTCAGTGGTCCTCGGGCGTGTCCCTGCAATGTCACGCTCTAATTGACCCACTGGTCGCTGACCTTGGCAGAACTCATTTGCAGCCGCAGCTGTGACTGCCTGTTAAAGCGGAAAAACCTGTCCACTCTCTCGCATGAAACCTACAAAGTGCTGATCGGCATGTTGCATTACCCCACCCCGCCCCAGTGTGGAAACGAGTGGCCTTTAGAGACAGGTCTTGCTAAATTCCAATATTCTGAATGAATACCCTAACTATCACTCCAACCCTTAAAATACATCAATGATGCAGAAGTACATGTCAGCAGTTAGACTTCAATATGAAGGAGAAGGCTGGGGATCTCGTATGCCTTGATTAATTACTTGCACACAGACACTGGCTCTAAGCACGCCCTCTCGAGCTGCAGGTAGCAGATCTCTGTATGGAAGTCTTACACCAACAGCCATCGAACTGGGTCCTGCCCTGGGCGTGCCAGGAGAGGGAGGGCCGGAGGATGCAGTCTCTGTTGTTAAACAGGGACCTTTGAGCCGGTGAAAGTGCCGTTGCTTTAAAGTTTCAGGGGCCCAGCTATGACAATGAGAACCAAAATTTAAGCGTGGTCAAACATTATATATCCTTTCAAAATAGCCTCCTATTTAAAAAAAAGATAATTAAAAGATATGGTCAATATTCCTTAGAGAGAGCACTTTTAAAACAATGCAGAGCAACTTATTCCTTAAGTTTCGGACAACAGGTGTGCCTGTTTTTAAATCTCAGACTAATTTGCCAACTTCCAGTTTCATGATGACTGAGATTCAAGTGGACTGCTGAGTGTTCCAGGAATGCATGCCCTTTCTGTGGGTCCAGCCGGCAGCGAGCGGAAAGACTTCAAATACCTTAAAAATACACCAAGGAATAGTGAAAAACAGAGAAAAGAAGTGAAATGTCTTATCTCTCCACTTCAACCACTAAATATCCTGTGCATATTAGTATAGACACACAAGCCAGATGACTTACTCTGCTTACATATCATCTCTCTGTCATGTGAGATTTTCCAAACCCTGCGCTATCCTTCCTGGAAATCAAAATGAAAACCTACTCTTTTTATAGTGGAAGGAAAACAGAGTGCTTCACACTTATTCAAATAGAAACCTCATCTTTAGGTATTCTAATTTTCTCTCTCAGACCCTTTTCAGTTAGTGAAAGCCACTGAATCACAGTTTCCAAACTCAAAATATCGGTAACACATCAATACTAATTAATATGCACAGTGTTGCCATAACAATCCAGATTCTGTCTTCCAGGAGAGCCCAGAGAGTGTCCAAGAGTCTAGAGGCCTCCTGTAAATATCCGGTGGCGTTGCACCCTGGAAAGAATGGGGGAGGGAGAACTTGGGGCAGAGTCCTTGGCTAACTGACCACACCCGGCCACGGTCAGCTTCAAGTTTTATTATTCTGATGATTGTCAACTTTTGTCATCCCAGTGAATGACTAAGGTGGATCAATGAATACGAAAGCACATTTCCAGAATTCTTCAAACAGCACCGTCTTTTAAAATAATGTCCCTTTGCAGGAGAAGATGTTATGGCACGCGAAGCCACCATGAATTATTCATCAGCTACGGAGTGTGCCAACCTCCAGCTCCTCTGTGCCTCCCGACAAGTGCGCACATGTGAATTACAGCACACTGAGGCTCTCGGTCCCGCCCGTTCTGGGTGGGACGGGGACCCGAGCTCCCTGGAGGTCCCGCCTGGTAAACTGAGAAGACCAGACACTCGGAAGTGAAGGCGGGAGGGAACACAGTGCGTCCGCCTGACGTGGAACTGCCCACCAGCGTACTCTCCAGAAACCAAAACAAGTTACTATCTCTCAGCGTTAGGGGTCTAGTATCAAAGGCAGCAGCATGAATGGACACAGTCTGCCGGTTTCAATGGGGCAGCCAGCAAGATTGTGTTGCGCTGCCTCTGAGGCCGTGGTGTTGGCTGCCGGTCCCAGGGGACCTGAGCAGGAGGCGCCCGGCCACTCCCGAAGCCGGTCAGCCCCACCAGGGAACGAACCTGCCCATCAAACACAATGGTGGGGGCTGCATGGTAGGGGATGCATTTCTAGGGGCAGCATCCAAAGTTAAACAAAGCACCCGGCACGCCCCGCCCAGGGAGACTTAAACTGCATCATAAAGGGGAATGAAGGAATTCACAGTGAAGCTTTGTGAACACAGGTAATGTCATGAAAACCAGGGGGTGGGGGTGGGGGGGTGATAGAAAAAGAGCGGGTGAACAGAAATGGGATCCCAACTGTTCTCCCCCCCCCCCCCGTCACCGAGGGCTCCCTTTAAAGTGCTCCCACAGACCCACCCGCCTACATTCAATTTAATGTAGCTCAACTCCTGCTACAAAACGGGCATGTCGATTTCAAAATCTCATAATATGCATGACATTCGTAAGTATGCTGATATATAAGATATGATTTTATGCAAATATGTAGCATGCACATAAATATATCACAGTGTTAACATACTATAACAAGCACAGAATTAATTTAGCCAATAGGAAAGGCCCCGCATCTCTCTCCACCTTTAAAGACATGGTCTCTGCCAGATGGCACAAACACAAGTTTACTCAAGGGACAGCCAAACCTGGGTCTCCGACGACGGGATCAGGGTCCATGAGCTCAGCCGGTCCCCGGGTTACCGACATGCACACAACTCTGAGACTTCAGGATTTCTTCCCTAGGTGGCTGGTGCACGGCAGGACAGCATCCACTCCTCAAAGCGGAGGCTTGGCTGGACCCTGGCTCTCCTCCCAGGAGTTTGTGGGCCGAGTTAGACTCCAGCAAGGGGTGTGCCACCCAGAGGGTGTGTCTCAGCCGCTCAGGAAGAATGAGGAGTTTCCTGCATGATTCTAGCTCCTTCCTCATGTAGAGAATCCTCAAACCCTTATTCTCTGCCTCACTCTGTCTCCCACCAATTCTGAAGACCCCCTCCTAAGAAGGCATCAGTTTCTGACACACCAGCAGAAAACGGTCCCTCCTGGGAAGCCACAGTCGAAACAGGTCCAGAATGTTCCTCAGGCTTTTCTCCACTCTGTACCATCTAGAATGCAGATTTTGGTCACTGTCATTTCACAGTAACTCAAACATATGAAAGAAAGAAAAGGTTCGATCTTCCCAAGATCTGCCTCCTCTTTCTACTTAATGAATTACCATCTCACCAGATGGGCTTTTTTATGATCTTTTTAAATACTAGGATTTAATAAAAACGCTGTAAGTCGGGGAGGCGTCTTTTAGTGTCAGCCTGACTGTTCATGGTGCTTTTGATGTTGCTCCTGACAAAACGCTGCTATGAGACAAGTCGTGGACTCGGAGCCCTTTTATATCCGGGACTGGCTGTCTGAAAACAATGACCTTGGCCGGAAAGGCTCAGGAAAGGGGCATTTTTTCCCTTTAGTCAGTAATGCCCTGACCTGGAGCAGGATCACCCACCACCCACAGGACAATTTTTCTCCCAGTTATTTTTGAACACAGGGGGTTCTGAAAATTGGAAACATTAAAAAAAACACTGTTTAAATGGGGAAAGGTACTTGGGACAAATATTGCCAGCATCAGACAGGTGCATTATTGGCTAAGAGTAGGCAGAAACTGGCATAATTGTTTTAAGTGTGATCATTAAATTCCTGCAATAGAGACATACACCTTAGCACCCATTCTGAAAAATTAATATAAAGCCCACAATCTCTTTTTTAAATAAAGATTTTATTTATTTACCTTTAGAGAGAGGAGAAGAGAGGGAGAAATAGAGAAACATCAGTGTGCAAGAGATACATTGACTTTGTTGCCTCTCTCATGCCCCCAGCCTGGGACCTGGCCCATATCTCAGGCATGTGCCCTAACTGGGAATCGAACCTGTGACCTTTCAGTTCAGAGGCTGGTGCTCAATCCACTGAGCCACGCCAGCCAGGGTGCCCACAATCTCCCTATTGAAAGACTATACAATCACATCGCTTAAATGTAAAGTTTGACTAATTGAACATTCCCAGCTTACTGTCTTTCTGTCTAGGTGGCTTTCTGGTTTTGTTCTGTTTTGAAATGGCTCTGGGGACAGCCAGACTCACGGGTCACCCCATCCTCCCTTTCCCTAGCCTGGGCCCCTGCCTGGAAGGTTCTGCCCCTGATAACGTCCTCCTGACTTGGCCGAAGCTCCAGGCGCCAGACACAGGGCTGGAGCTCTTGTTGATAAAATGCTTGGCCTCTGCAGGGCTGTCAGGTGCTCGCTGCTGCCAAAGGCCCCTTGCATCTACTGAAATCTTCTGATTATGCCTAATGCCTAGCATTCTCATGACAGTAATTCCCTGTTTTGGTCCTCATGTTTTTTGTTAGTGTCTCGGGGTTCTTAACATAAGGGTAGAACAGAAGTCTTTTAGAGTTGCATTTTTTTAAAAAATCCCATTAGCCTTCATTTTGAATGTAGTGGGCACCAGTTTTTCTGACTCCCTCGAATCTGAGATTACGATTCGTACCTGATTTGAAAGGAGAGGGGGAAGAGGGGACCACGTGTAGTACTGGAGCTACTTTCTGGGGCTAATTCAGAATTTTAATTTAAAAGCAACTTGTACCCGTTTCTTGCCTTTGACGAGGCCAGGCAGCCTGGAGGGGAGGGGAGAGGGAGGCCATCCAATAGTGAAACTGCCTTTCTGAACAGTTAGCCAATAAGGTACTTCCTTCCTAGTCACGGACCCCAGATTTGACTTGGTAGTTGAGCCAGAGATGATTACTTTGGCAATCTTATTAGAATCCAGAAACCAACTACTTTAACCCAAACTGTTTAAAACATGCAACTGCTTCCTAACTGAAGGTAGTGATACTCCTACAATGCCATTGGCGAGTCAGGGATTCTGCTGTGTGTTCTTCCCCTGACGTGACTCAGTCACCTGGGGAATCTGGAGAAGGCTTTACAAAACCAGGCACCTCGGAACTCTGCCCAGGAAGGCAACTGGCAGCCAGAAATAATAATATGTTAAAAATTGCTTTCAATCGCACATTCACCTGCATTTGAGAAATGCTTGGTGAAACGTCGTTAAACAGGTTTCTTAGCTGTGGTCTTCTCAGGGACATGAATATGCGTGTGTGCCTTGTCTCTTTAAAAGAATGAGGTAAGAAGCAACTACCAAATTTATTTGACCAGCAAACCCCCAACCAAAGCAAAAATATTAACTTACCACAAAACAGAGTTTGGACAACACTGCTCCAGGGAAGGAGAGCAAAAAGGCATTTGAGAGATCGTTTATGTCATAGGGTCCAAGGTGAAAAATCTTACAGCCAGAGGAACGTAGGAAAATTCTGGCTGGGGGGTCTAGGTTCTTCTTCCTCATTGAATAGGACCTTTAAAGAAATTGAGTTTTCATCTTTCCCAATGGAATCATTTTTCTCATGGAATTCGATTTGCTTGAAGTGTCTGTCTCTTCTGCTTAAAGGCCACACAGAACATAGTAGGTGTGGTCCCCGCGACGCTGTCACATCCCAGTAACCCAGATGTTCCGTGTTCTAGGCACGTGGCACCTCTCACAACACGCCGAGCTGAAAGACCTGGCCTAGGTCTGCTCACAATTACAGAGAAGGAGACACAGCCTGCCCTAATGTGATTTATGACAAGGCCGAGAGTGAAAATAGCAGACATCGGTCACCAAACACGCACAGAGCCCTGGCCTCATCATTCAAACTAAGCTGAACTGATGGAAATTTCAAACAAATTGAATTCCATAAGAAAAATGATCCCATTGGGAGAAGGGAAAATAAAATTTCTGAGAAGGTCATATTCCATAAAGAAGAGGAACCTAGACCTTAACTAGAAAGGCACAGGAAAAAGTTAAGTACTGATTTGTCATCTCCCTTGAACTTGTGTTTCAATGGTATTCAGTTATAAGCCCAGACACTTGGCCCCGACCCAAGCTCAGCTATGCGATGCCATAGGAAAGATCAATTTCAGGAACTAAAAGAACTTGCAATTCACTATACACGTAAAAAGAGAACACTCTTGACGGTGGCCTTGGCAGCACACAACTACCTCCGTGCTCTTAGATCAAGTTTCTGCTTGTGATTTCCAAGTGGGTTCCATGGAATTATTTTTGTAACCAGAAATGAAATTTTATGGCCTTTACTAAGGTAATTGTAACACCTATTACATATAGTCCCTATATGACTCAGCTTCATAAACTACAACTAGAACAGCCTCATTATTATACTTAGCACACATTTACTGAGGGTGCACTCTCCGTGGGCATTGAAAGAACATTCCCTCCCTGATTTCTTACAAGCCCTGAGATGAGTACCACTATCACTTCCATCTTAAAGATGAGGCAACTGAGGCAGACAGAGGTTAAAAAAATTGCCCAAGGTCACCCCACTAACAAGAGATACAGCTGGGACGTGGGCACAAGCAGACTCAATCAGAGACCATACCCAGGATGCTAAAACTCCCTCAGAACACCCTCACAACCAAAAGTTTCACTCCCTCTCTCCTTCCCTTCCCCTCTAAAGATAAATAAATAAAAAATCTTTATAAAAAAAAAAAAAAAAGAACATGGAAACAGCTCACAGCAGATCATTAAATCAAAGATGACAAAGCCATCTCTGTGCCTTTGGAGTTTAGTGGTATAAAAAGTCAGAGTATACCTAATACTAATGCTTTTTATAAAAAGCCTAAATACTGAAGACTGTAGTGGGGGGAAGGGTATTAAATCATAATGATTTACTGTAGTCCAAATTCTTCTAATTTCCACACTAATTCCCAGTTGGCTCCAGAGTAATGTATGGCCACAGCAATTACAAAATATTCCACATATGCCCTGGTCCAGTGGCTCAGTTGGTTGGAGCATCGTCCTGAACAGCACCTGCGTAGGTTGTGGGTTTGACCCTCATATTGGAAAGCAACCAATCGATGTTTCTCTTCCTCCCTCCCTCTCTCTGTCTCTCTAAAACCAATAAACATACCCTGAGTAAGGATTTAATAAACAAAACAAAACAAATCAAAATAATCCACATATGGCTTCCTCTCCAGAGAATGAGGGGTACTATTTATTGACTGCCATACACAGAAGACAATGGAATTTGTTGTTGTCAGGGGGTAAGAAAGCAAAATGAACACCCGAAGACACACACCTGCCCGGGAAATGTACTGCACAATTCCATCTCACCTGTAGCTTTCACTCGGGGGGGGGGGGCGGTTCTCACTGCCAAGCTGGCCCACCACCTTCCCTTTGGAAGCTGCACTCCCAGTTCGTGGAAAGAGAAAATAGGCCATTTTCATGAAAATGAGAATGCTACTTCAAGTTACTGACTGGGATGCCCTCGGCAGCTTCGTTTGGGAACCTTTCCATTTAATGGAACTTTCTGCATTTCCCTGACTAGTTAACAATTTATTGACAGTCGAACATTCATACTTTGTCTCTAATGAAAGCAATCATTTACTCATGGCTTCATGCAAACTAATTATTCCAAAGACTTTCCTGTTGACTTTTAAAACCTTAATGGCTTGTCTCTGCCTGCTTCCAGCTTCCATATCTTCCAAGAAAAGGATGACTTCCTTCAACGGGGGGAGCTGGGCTGTACGAGTAACTCAGTAACTATACGAGTATGTATCCCAATTTTATAAACCTAGTCAAAAATCAAAAATGAAACAGAACAAAAGTCTCTCTGCTCTTTCTGAATTCAAGAAGATAAATCTAGTTTAAAGTACTTTTAAAGATAGGAAAAATCAAACCCAGCGTGCATCGCAGCCTTTCAAAATTAGCGAACGCTGAGTGCCTTGCTAAACCTCTTGAGGGTTCCTAAGAGCCAACCCCCAAGTGAAGGACAAAATTGTGTTTAGCAGTGAAATACCTCTCCCAAACAATGGCCTTGTCACCCCTTGAGCAGACCACCAGACAGCATGGAAGCTACAGGGAGCTTTTAGACCTAGTGCCGTGGTCCTCAAGCACACAGAACAATGAAGTTTCTCAGGGACTGGTGAGGGATTGAGGCAGAGAGCTGACTCTGGGCTGCACCCAACTTCCCCCCCACCCAGAGAATTTCAGCTTATGTTTTATATTGGGGCGGTTTCCAGATGAGCTTTTATTTTTATTAAAAAAAGATTCCATAGCTAAAAACAAACACAT